CCCATGGTTTCATATCCTGCACTTCTTGTAACATATCTCCAAATCTTTCATATAAAAGGTGATTAACCCTCTGTAAAATAGATTACCATAAGAAAAATATGTTTGTTTAATTTAGGCACAAATTCAATGCCTAGGACTAATTAATTATTTATGAGATATTATTGACTTGTATATCTTTTAAACCAGTTCTTTGAAACTCTTAAGGTCTAGATTCTTGTTGAGCATTGTGTTTGAATGAAAGTATTCTCTTAAAATCAACTATTAAAGAAATACATACTTCCTACTTATCTATAATAAGTAGGAAGGTAATTTCATGATCTCAGAACCAAAGATGAATCAATCTGATGCTGGGTGTCATGAAAGATTGTTTTGTGATCCCTGAATCAAAGGTGAGCTTCAGGCGAATACTACTTGTAATATGAAGCACTTATTAATAAAATCATTGTCCTCTTTGTAATAATTCAGGACTCGTTTTGGTTGAATATCAACAGACTTAAACCAAATAGCTCATTTAGTTGTTCTGAACCACCTGAAAACTAATATGAATAGAATTCTATGCTAATAAAAAATATATTTGGGCAAAGAGAGAATTAGGAACCGGTTAATTCTACTTATCATGAACGTGCCTGAGTATTATACTCCATGATCAAAAGTTAAAGAAATAGCCATATAAACAAATGAATATCTTCACAAGAATTATTCTCTATGATGTTTCTAAAAGTCAACATCTCTAAGACGTAAAACTGAAACTAAAATATAGAATAACACAAACTACTCAGTACGGAAATAGAAAACTGTAACCTCCCCTATAGGCTCTTATTAGTGACATAAATTGGAATGTTCTACATATTTTGTACCAACTAGAACCATTTAGAAGTGAAATTCAAATAATTTTTATTATAAACTCATATCTACTAGTAATAAACGAACTTATAACACCAAATGAAAATAATTTACATCTAATAAATATATTTAATTTTAAGAAAACTATAAGTTATGTTATTTATGTGCCTTGATTGAATGTACTAATATTAAATAAATAAGGATTTGTGTTACCAGTATATTTTGATGTTCTTACTCACTAAACTTAAAAAGTCTTTACAGATGTCTTATTGTAGAAAAAAATTAACATATTTTTCAAACATGTAATTTATTACAAAAGAAAAATAATGTTTAAAGGAACAATAAACAAATGACTAAATCTGTGGTTTGTTACTTCTAAACTTCCATTCTGTTGTTGTTCTCTGCACAAGCTATGCCATGTCATTTTCACACGAAAACAAATTTCTTATTGCCCCACTTCATTCACTCTACATTCAAATAAATAGTTTATAATCTGCTCTATTTAATGGTGCTTGATCTTTACCCATAGCTATTTTCAATTTGAGTTTCATTATACTTGTTTATAACCTGCAGTAAGCTCATACAAACATGGGAAAAGAGAGGCTGTGCTAATAAAATTCAAAGAAAAAAAAGAAAATCACATGAAAAACAAAACATTAATAATCATATTCTAAAGGGTAGATAGTTTCTTAGCAAATATAAACATATATTTTAGAATGGGCAGAAAAATTAGAAAAAATCTATTAGTGCACTGTTTATGCTAAAATGTAACTTAGAAAATGTTTTTCATTTTTCTTTGTGAATTATATAAAATAAATGTTGGTAGTAGTCAAAATAGCAGTTGTGAATTATTTATGAGTAACAAATTGATGAAAGGAAGTAAGAATTATTTAATTGACTTAAATTTTGAATTTTGATATACAGGTGTGCACTTTATCAATAATGAGAATAATGTTATAATTAACAAACTCACAAAATATAAAACGTAGTAATAATCAAAAAGTGAAGGAATATCACCTCACAGGTGCTCTTTTATAGGTATACTGCAGTTCATAGAGCATGCTCTAAAAGCACTAGTCTTATCGATATATATATCCTGAATGTAACATAACACAAGCTTCCATTTTAAACCATTTTAATACGATACTTTACATTATGAAACAAGTTTCTTGTCGTGTCCACACCCAAACACCTGAAGGGTACTCAGCGGCCTTGAAAGCAATGCTGAAAGGGTGTTACATTTTGGTCTCGAACCATACAATCACAGTCCACATCAACATATACCAGTGCAACTAGGACCAATATAAATCTTAAGAGACTATTCAATAAAACTTCGTGCTAATGGAATTTTTCAATTTGCACTAGTAAGCATATTACGTTAAAACCAAGTAAAACGCTGGGTATATTTAGTGGATTTCACTTTCTCCAGTTGATTTCAAACATTAATGCATATTTCGATCCAGGCGAAAATATTCAGTATTATTAGTATTAAAACATTGGTTAACTCCGCTTTTCCTTCAGTGTAGTGTGAGCTCTCCCATCATTAACAAAAAATACTTATGATATTATAAAAAAAATAAATTAAAATATGATATTATATATGCCAAATGTTTCAGTGTCAAGATATCAGGTGAACCGTATATTCCAGTTATGTTTCATACGTTATTTTATATATTGCAGTTTTAATAGTCTAATCAAATTATATATTTCTATTCCTTTATTGCTTGGTAATTGTGTTACTTTATTGGTGTAACATTACTCTCAGAAAAAATTTTATTTAAGGCCCACTTATTTCTTCAACACTAAACACATGTATTTGTGCATGAATACTGCCACATTAATAGCACAAACCATTGTGTTGTATGCTAGACAGATTGCCTTCAGATCTTGTACAGTAACTACAGCATAATAGCATATGCTCAATAACCTACCAAATACTATACTGCAAACTACAAGCCATTAAATTAAACTCTTTCTTGCCATCAAAATAAAGAATTGCAGGCAGAACTCAGTAAAACAAAAGCTTTTCAACTAAAACTCCTTCAAGAAGGATTCATATTTACGCTGATACAGTATAAATCAATAATGTTTCAGACTGACAGGCTAAACACAGAAAATAAGGATTGGAGACCCACCACATCATTACAGTTCATGTCGGCACGTCTTTTCATGCTTTATATATTTAATAGTTGCACAGATATATCATGGAAGTATCTTGCGTACACGTGATTTGTGTTTCTAGATGGAGATCATTCTTGACTATGTTGCCTGGGACACACGGACGCCCTTGTCTTTGTGTTCTTGGATTTTCCCTGTTACAAGACGACATGCTTTGTTTACTATGACTGGAGTACAATTTGGATTGAACTGGTGCCTCACGCTGGTTTACATTTCTTTGTTATCCAATGCCATTAAGTAAAAGGTATATCCCAATTTTGAAAATTCTGATAAGTGTGTGTGTGTGCATTATATTCAAACATCTCATCCACCAAACTAGCTTCCAACAAAAAAGATGTAAATAAATTTAACACATAGTTTCTTTTGATGAAAACTTAGTCATAGAGAGACATAATTCAGTGGCATTATCCACATCTTAGGCATGTCTAGAATAAAGTTTTCATAAAAGCTTTCACACATCTATTCCTTGATCCAATGACAATGTTTGTACAGATGGCATCAGATAATGAGAGAAGACATTTAATTTTAGTCATTCAAATTCACCTCTGCATATTCAAAAACTTTGGTTTCTTTCCAGAAAAATGAGTTGTAATAAACCATGTGACAACAACTTTTATCAATCATGTGGCTGAACTGCAACAGATCAGGTATCTCAGGTTGGATTAAAAAAATATAAAAACAGGATTTACCTCAGAAAATGATGGATTCAATTCCATGGAACAAAAACAAATTGTTAGGAAAGTAAAAAGGTCAACATATGCTAAAGAGCATAGAATTCAAAGGCAATTAACTGTCACGGAAAGAAAATAAGATTGCAAAAGGTTCATCATGTTGGATATAGACTAGAACAGGAAATACATGTGGCTAATGTTGATTAGACTAGCAGTTACCCTTGGGAGAATGTGACAAGTTATGTTAACTAATCACATTTATGAGTGTGTGTAATTCATGTAAATGTGGACAGTTAAAAACCAATTAAAAAACCCTTCAAGATATATACCTTGGCAAGGAGAATAAATATGATATTATATAAAGTTATGATATAATAGCTACTATATAAAGACGAAAAGCCGTCCGTTCACACTCAACTACCATGAAACAACAGCACTTTGTCGTGACAAGCAAGTTTTTATTTTTAAAGTTCTTCCAGCCATATATATATATATATATATATATTCTATAATAACCTGCATGTTTTACCCACAGCACATTTCAGTTTTGAAAATGCACAAATTAAAATGTGTTTATTCACGTCAACAGGCTAACAAAGTCAAATCCAGGAAGACACTCCAAGGAGAAGACACTAAAATTCATAAAATTCACTGCCTTTACAGTCATAATTAATAAGTTGCAGGGTCATACAGTTGAATAACTAGGAATATGTCTTCAAGAATCGTTTTTTTTGGATGTTTCAATTCTATAAGGATTTATCAAGAACAACATTTGAACATAACTTAAAAATATACAGAAGTCAAAATGTTAATCAAGTAATATTTAAAGGAGATGACCAAATATACAAATATAGAAATAAGAAACTCATTCTCCATACCTATATTGTTAATAGATTATAATTAATTTTTAGAAAAATGAATCATCATTTCCCATCATGTGACAGGCATTCAGCTTGTTCAAAATAAATTTTTAATGAAATGCAAAAACACCAAAGTTATTTACGTAGTGTCAAAAAATAAATAAAAATTTAAAAACAAAGTGATTTCATAAAGTCAAGTGACTTTCTTTGAGAAATAATATTTATGGATTTTTCACAAAATTAATATTGAAAAGAAAGTATCTCACAGAATAAAAATAAGTAAGTTGATATTATTAAAGAGACACTATTACAAGCCATATTTTGTGAATAATATTTGTCTTTCATATGATAATATAAAAAAAATACATAGTCAAACAAGTGCTTATTTCATAAGCCTTAAACAATGATCTACCTTGAATAACTTAAGTTTATATATACAGAAACAAACCTCTGAACTTGGGATGTCTACAGCAAAAAGGTCAACTTCTGGACTCTCCTTAGCTGGTCCACCAAACAGTATATCTTCATCCTCAAACATTGACTTACTTCTAGGTTTAGACTGCTCAAAAATATGAAAAAACATTAAAATGCTGGTAAATAAAAAAATCATAAACAAATATAATATATACCACCCTTCATTTATTCTGTGTTTTACTTTAATTGTGAATTCTTATTGTGAAAGAACTGTGAATCTCAATATTTGAAACTGGCAGTTATCCTACAGATCCTTCAAAAATTTAAACTAAAATAGTAAAAATACAACTGACTATATTTTAAGATAATGTCTGAGATATATTTGCATGCAGTCACACAGTGATATGTATTGATTATATAAGATAATGATTAGTGACAAAAATTACAGATAAGGTTGTTTAGCTGAAAATGCATATGTTAGCTAATTATGTTGTTAATATACTCCCCCTCTTCACATCTTTCACACACAGACTATTATATATTGCTAAAAGTTCACACAAGAGTGTATATAATGTATTAGACTATTAGTAGAATATGTGCTGGTTCTGTTTAAATATCTCAAGTCAGCAAAAATATGTACACAAACAATATATCTCTATTATAAATCATTACCTAGAAAACATTAGGTATTTAGTACAATAAAACTATAATAATTTCTGTGGACTTCTTGGAGCTTAACCCTTTCCACACAAGTCAAAGGCCACGTCATCGAGTTTGTTGACTCGCATTCAAAATTTCATTGAACTACTATTTTATGAATTTATGTCAATAACTGTAGATTATAATTCAAATTGTAGTATTATACATTATTTAATCTTTTAATTTAAAAATAAATATTAAAAACATACACCTAAACATCGATTTTTGTGTGTCACATGGTACGTTGAAAGCAGCACTGGTTCAAATTAGATGTTTGTGATGTTGAAATACAAAGTCTATAGTTCTGTATGAATTAGGAACTCAAATTACTGATATTAAAAAGCTAGAATATAAAATAAGAACCTCCTATCTTTTCTATTTCCTGAGATATTGCTCATGTACTGAATCAAACACACTGGCCCTGCTCACCTCTTTTCATTTTTGGAAACACTCCCTTATATGCAATTCTGTCTATGACATGTGAATAACCAATTAAAAGTTCATAATGTACCCCTAGTGGTTTTCTCAGCCATTTTCATATATAACAGGGTCATCTCTTTCCTTCGATACAAATCTTCATGCTGGTAAAGTGAGTCTTTAGTCTGCTCGAAATTTCATATTTTTTAGTCCCAAATACAGCTAAATTACTAAGCTTGATAAATTATAGTGAAATTATATTATATCGATATAGTAATTTATGAGTTTTTGGTTACTTGAAATGTATATATATATATATATATAAAATTAAAAATATATTTCGTTTCACATCCTCCATGTTAGGCCCACTGACAGGAAGGGGGGGGGGACTGCCCTGGGGCCTGGACGAATGAAACCTGGTTATGCCATAAAGCCCACAAAGCATCTTTAGTCTATATCTTCATTTAATGATAAAAAACCATAGTTTTTTGCTTTTCTTTATATACAGATGCTTCATACATTAAGAATGACTGAAATAATAATTTGAGTAATAATTAATATGTATTTGTTACTTTATAGATTTAATAGATATTTGTTGTTACTTTATTAATGTTTTTATGCTTATACTGCGAGATAAAAACGGCTGCTGCTATGATCTTGTCTGGTTTATGAGCTCAATCTGTCCAAATTTAGGATCTTCTTTTTAATAAATTATTGAAAATGTTAAAAAAGAGAGAGAGAGAGAAAGGTGGGCTCGGCGAGGCGCCAGGGCCCATGCTGGCTCTTGAGTTCCTGCTCCACGTGCAAAACTTTATAAGGCTTAGCAACCTATGACAAGCAGCAAATGAGTACAAAGTTCATAACTAGAAGAAATAATTGTTTGATTTACTTCTTTATTTACTGTTCTATGTTTTCAGAAAAACAAGTTACAAAGTTATTTGTAAATAGTAATAATGTATAATAATTGAAATGTGACTGTATTTTACAAAATACTAGTCCATTAATACATAGCCAAGACAGGTCACTTTGTGAAGACTATAGGTCAGTTTTACATTATTGGATATGATAACATGAGTGCACGCGCACCGACTCATTGTAACTTCTGTATTGTTAGCCAGGCACGGCTGAAAGGTCAATATAATAAAAATAATAAATATATATAAATGTATAATTTTATGAGATTTAAGTTATTTAGTCTAAACATTTGTGTTATGTGTTATAATCTGTAGTCATTCTAGAATGAAAAAGGCATAACTTATATTTATTTCAAAATTTTTTATGGTGGTTACGGGTTTGGTCAAATCAACCAAATCTGTATAGAGATGTGTTAGTGAAAATAACAGATAAGATATCAAGTTTTTTCTTCAAAAATGTTTGATAACTATCTCAGTATATGAATGTTATAAAGATTTTGCATGTGAAATTTAAATATTTTATGATGCATAAAAGTATTTTTAATCTTAAAATAAAAATTACTTTGCATGTTGGATAGGCAAAATGCTGAAAGAAAAAGGCATGAGAAAAACATTGCTTTACAAATCTTAAGACTTGATGAAAAAAAAATCTGATATTTTGTGTATAAAAGCCTTGTAATGTTTACTGATAATCTGCCAAATTTCGTGAACATATATTTCCTAATTTAAAACTTATAGAATGAAAACTAAAACAAGCACAAAATGGTTATGAGGTTGGTCCCAGGGACCAAGCCCATGCTGAAAGAGTTAAATAGAAACTTCAATTCTTTGACTCACAAAAAATGTACATACATCAATGTGGAACTGTCAATACACATGATAGATATACACGACTGTTTCATTTAATTTTAACACAAGAGTTATGAAGTGCAAATGATAAATTTAATATTTTAAGAAGTGATAATGTATCACAGGTTTGCTTACGTAACTGCTTACGAATCATTTGTTGCATAGTTCAGTTGCTGAATTGATGTCATGTTACTTGAATCTTCTTAATTTTTCTAATTGCTTTAAGTGCATATTGTACCATTGTAATGTCTCATAGTTTGTAGAAAGATCTAGGCCTCAGTAGAACAATATATATATATATATATATACACACAGGCACCAAGTCAGTGCAAGTAAGTTAAGTCAGTGAAAGTGAAAAAGTGACGTTAGACTTTGTGTGAGTTTAGCCGTAATGGGCAATTTCTGAACTGGGTTTCACAGCTTGTATTGTAGTAACAGAGATAGAGAAGTACAATTTTTCTTGTCAAAGGGTGTTCTAACGTAACTGAACCTGCCTGTGTGGACTTTGATGAAAAGAAGAAAATTATTTAAAACTCTGGATACCACTCTGGTAACCAATGGTTAGAGTGGTGATTTTAAAGTGAGTATCACAGCTTTGTTTTGTAATAACAGAGTAGAGGAGAATAATTTGTTGTTTCAAAGTAATTGTAAAAGGTAATTGAATCTGCCCATGTGGAATTATCTAAAGCTTTGGATACAATTGTGATAGTCAATAGTGTAATGAATTTTTGTACATACATTTGAGTTGTTCTGAATATATATTATTTTAAAACAAGTGGATTATGTGAGGTCCATTTATTGTTGAAATTTATTGCCAACAGATCACAAACAGCTACTGCAAAGAATCACATACCTATAAAACCTGACAACACAACTTTTAAGAGTTAATGTAGGATGCTCAATGTACTTTGTATGTGACATTCCATTAATTATTTTGCATATTTTGGGAAGCACAAACACAAAGTTTTGATATAAAATTATTGTTTAACACCATCAAATTTGGATTTTATTGTAGTTCTATATTTGAATTTTGGATACCAAAATTCCTTGATATGACAATACACAATTCTAAGCTCATTTAATAACAGTTAAATAAAGTTTTGTTAATGGTCTGACAAGATTTGTAAAAAACTTCTCGATTTTGTCCTCTTTTTTTTTGTATTCAGTGGTTATCAGATTAGTTTTGTAGAATTTTAATGGATTTAAAATAAGTTCCTAGCTTGCCAAAGGCATTCTTGAGCTTTATAGAAACAGAACAGGTTTAATCACTGTCTGAAGATTATACATCTTTATTTAAATATATTATGCTTGCAAGAGTCATGGACTCTGAATATTAGGTGCACACCTAAAATGTAGTCAATATGTATAAAGTGCGAATATGTACAGTCATACTGAAGATAACTCAACATTTTCATTTTTGCACAATCACAGAACTCACCATTATCTTTAATTAAATTTTAAATTACACATCAATCAACATATATTACACATATTTTGA